CTGCCGTCGCTCGCTGGCTTCCTGTCTCGTTTTGCTCGAGCGAGACGGGTATTATGTGCCGAAGTGATGCGATGTATCCCTGGCTCGCGCGAGCCTGGCATTGGCCCGTCATGTGTGGGAGCATGTTGAAGTCGGCGACCGTCCTGACCTGGCCTCGGTCATCGCCAGTGCACTTGGATCCTGTCAGCCTGATTGTGATCACTCCAGAGGAGAGGACCCTCAAACAGCTGACCGACGAGCTTATCAAGTATGACACGGGATTTCGGCCACAGTACGGTCTTCAGGTTGGTGTCTTCTGCTGGGTCGTCGTTGGTTTTTCCAGCGTGCCTGCGCAGTCAGAGACGCGACTCTCTCGTTGGGGCGTTCAGCTACAGGGTTTGATGTTATCAGTGCCTGGTTGGGGCTGGAGCACAACTCTCTCATGCTGGCCGTAGCACCGTAGCCAATCAGCTCTCCGAGCTGGGCACGACTTGTGCGAGGAGTCGGTCGTTGCGTTGCATTGGATGGTGCTGGTATGCTCGGTACTGATTCCGGTTGTGACCGCCTTGGCTGACGTCGGTTTTTGCCGGCTTGTATTACTGTCTGCCTGTTGTCAGCTGTTCTCGTGTCGGGTGTCAACCGCTGGTGACCCCTTGCCCCATCTGCCCCCCCCCCCCTCCCCATTAATTGCTGTTGCTGATATCGCTCTCCTGCCTGAGATCGAGTAGCTGCGGGTGATCTGCGTCTTGTCCGGTGTCACTGGCGGTAGTCGTCCTGCTCTGCTTGATGCGCCCCTGTCCGGGTGCGATCCTGTGCCTGTCGTCAGCGTCGGCCCGCGTCCCTCTCAGGTGCTGGAGTCGCTGCTGCGGGAGCTGGGTGACCTCGAGCCAGGCCAGTACCTGCTGTCACACGACGCCCGCGCCGGCGCCTTCGCCCGGCTGGCTCGCGCCGACGCCGGCCCTGGCGGCACCGACTTGCACTCGAGCTTCTCGGACGCGCCGCGAGAGGTGCGGCTGTCGGCGCCTCCGAGCATCAGCATCGACCCGTCCGTGCTGACGCCGTACAACATAACCTTCGGCCGCGTACCGGCCACTTTCGACTACGGCATGCGTCCAGGTGCGGGTCTGCCGAGCCACCGCCGCCGCAGTATGTGTGGAGTGCGGTCGAGCCGCCACGGTTGGCATCCGCGCACTGACGCTGGTGGTTGGGTGACCTCCGAAGTCAGTGGGGATTTCCGGCGCACTCAGCTCCTGAGACTATATGGCGTCGTCTGCCTCTCACCCTGGCGGGAAGATGGGCGGGGTGGTGCGCCGCACAAGAGCGGCATCAGGGCTGTGTGAGCTGGATGCGGGGTGGACGGGAGGTGTTTCACAGTCGCGGGGGATTTTTCTTGGGCTGAGATTGTCGCGGGCCTGATTCTGCTGTTTGTGTGGCGTTTCGTATGGGCTCGCACTCGGAACTGATGGGTATATCGTTCCAACATTGCCATTTTCTCCGTCGCCAGGCGTAGGTGAGGCGGGATGGAAGGAGTACTGGGCAAAAATGAAGGAGAGGGGAAAGACGAGGAAGAAGAAAAAGAATCCAGGCAAAGCAAAAAGCAAAGTGATGAACCAAGGGAGGAGAAGGCGACAGAAAGGACAAAAAGCCAAGGCAAAGCGAGAAAACAACATGATGGGTCGCTTAGAGGCGATTCCAGCACCATCGAGTTCGGTCCAACGGCTCGACTGAAAGCTACGGCCAGCTACAGTCGGTGGAGGATGGTCATGGATGGGTTCTGTGATACTGATCTTAAAGATCGTGCTAACTGCTCAGTGATGATAATGACAATGAGCTCTGTTACCACATATTCCACAGACAGTGGATCGTCGATGGGTGCTGTATGATGTAACATATGTGCAGCGAGTTTGCCTCAGTTGCCGGTGTAGATCAAAGAAGCTCTTGCACATGTACAGCATGTAGCACGCCGCATTGCGTGCATTTGACTGTGCATACCATCGATCGTGTTATTCATCTCAAGCACGATAGCCATCGCCTTCTAAGAAAATAAACAACATCGTCGTAAAAACCATGGCCCTGTTTTCCTGTTCCAGCTGATTGTATTGAAGCCGAGGGGCCAAATGGCGTGCCGCGCGAACGTGACCTGTCCCTTATGGGTGCATGGCTGGATTTAATATATCGACGTTCGATGCGAAATCTTGTACGGAAGGCTGTCATCGAGCTGCCTTGAGCCACTTTGGAAATGGCGTGGCCTGGTTGCATTGGCGCGTGCCTTAGCTTGTAAGATAGCGGGCCTTCGCTGCAAGACGAAGCGTCTGCGGCAATCGAATGGGTCCTGCATCCTCTAATTTACTTGCAATGTGGAAGAGATGCTCCGCGGCCTGTGCCTTCGAAAACAGTCCCAAAGTTACGACGCTCTTCGTGTCGTCAGGCTGCGGGCATCTTGATTTGGATGTATCCGCTATATTTGTGCACGGCGAAGCTAACTTTATGATCTCCGTAGCGGAGGTACCCTTCCGACACTCGCACGCACGCGACTGGGAGCGTTCGGCTGATTTTTGTGCAGTTGTTGGCCGACGGGCAGTAGATACGTTGGGTAGGCAGGGCCCGACGGCATTTGTCCCGCTCATTCAGATCGATTCGAGTCCATTTGAGGACTCGTTACCGCAGGGTCGGCGGCTGCGAGAAGAAGGATCTGTCAGTTGTGCGATCTTCAATCTTTCCTGACAAGCCGTGTCATCGTTAACACCCACGTGGTACCAGCGGTTGCGTTGCCAGTCCTTCGGTTTATATTTCAACTACTGACGAGGGCGATGTCTCTGGTAAGAGAGATACCTCTGAGCTTCGGGACATTGGTGCTGGTGCAATCAGCGGAAGACGGGCCAAGCACCGTGAATGCAAGCTGGAGCGTCTCGGATTCGGCGGAGGATTTCTACCGCAATTGTAATTTCGGTGTGTTCGGCGCTGCGGTGCCCGAAAAGGATCCCTTGGAGGCTTCTCAGAATGTATCTCCAGATGACTCCGACAATGTGCAATCGGCGTTACAGTTTGCCCGCTACATTTCCTGCGTCGAAGCGGTTTCTTCTGGTGTTGGTGATCCGTTCAAAGGCTCGCCGGGCGTTTGTTGGCCTGTGGTGACGATCACGAAAATCCGCCGCGGTTAAAGGGGGTGATGCGCCGATCATTGGCATAATTGGCACTAATATGCGCAATACGGCAACGGCGGAGGAGCCGCACGTCTGTGAAATATGCGGTAGACCGTTTAGGAGAAAGAAAGACATCCGAAGACATTTGGTGACCCACACAAACGAAAAGCCATTTCGCTGCTACGTTTGCTCCATCAGATTTAAGTCCCGTGATTATCTTCAGCGCCACTGCCGGCGCATTCACAGGGAAGAGGCAGACAAGCGACGATCACCGCACGACGACCAACAACCAGACCGACAGGGCTCTGCTGGTCCAGACCTATCACCGATGAAACGGCACAGTTGCTCCGCGGGGTACGGTTGCACGGGGCACGGTTGCACCCCTCAGCGCAGCCTGACCCCGCAAAGTCCACACGGTGGGGACAAGTACATGGATCGTGAAGAGCATGCACCTGGGGCTGGCTCGCCAGCGAGCGGGGCCGGGCCAGCTGAGTCTGATCTCGACGGGCCCACGTCACGTGACGAGTACCGGCGTGCGAGCCGCACCGAGCCGCGCGGCGACCCAGGCCCGGGCCCGTTCCTTTGTGGTGTCTGCGGGGACCTGATGGCTCGCAGGTTCGTAATGGTCATGATGCCCAACTCGTCCGCTGCGAAGGCTACAGCGCCGCGCGTGGTCTGTAAGAGCTGTTTCTCAAAGAAAACAGGTCTTCTCTGCATCGGCTAAGAGGAGTAGTAATGCCTTCAATTTCGTTCATTTTGAGTTCGCGTTTTCCGTTTTGTGCTTCCTGTCAATATACCATGACTTGCCCCGAAATTGTGTTTGTTTGCTATGCAGGCACCTTATCCCGTTGCCTGATCGTTGCTTGATAGTCGAGCTCCGATGATGCACCTGGGACCGGGCGCACTGGTGCGTGCGGGAGCAAATCACCGCAAATAACATAATCCCGCTTGACGAGGGCCACAGAAACCCTCCCAAGTGTTTCTGTAGTAGATCCAGTGTAGTGCTTAGAGAATCAGCACATATGGATGTGAAGCTACGAGTCTCTTGGTCATGCCCTATGTGCTCTACAGAGACCATGTCAGCTGCGTTTTGTCCACCCTCCCTCCCCCGTTCCCCCACTCGCCGGCATTGAACGGTCGCCTATGTATAATATTCGTGACGCTATTCCGTAAGACACAACCAACTGTCGAAATTATATGACGCAATTCATAATAGGTGGCAATCCGTGTCCATAGGGCCATACGAGAAAATGCAGAGATCAATGGCAGCGTAGAAGGCTCCTTGGCGATCACATTGACCCGGCAAGTGGATACACGGGGCCCCGGCAACAGCGTAACGCCGCTGGAAAGTGCATGGACCTCAAAATGTTCCCCAAATCACCATCCTCTCTATTAGCGAACAATTAGCATTGTCAGCCCATGAACCCTTCCCTTTCCCTGCGACCGTTCTCGGTCGTCTAGAGGCCCAAAGACGTCCAATTGTGTCGCGTGTTGTGCTAGAAAACTGCGTCCGTCAATGAAACATGGACGTCTGGAGGAGCATGTTTAGGAAACAGAGAAATTGTGCTGACTAGACTCAAAAGTCTCTCCTACGGAAAAGTGTGCCGATATTTATGTCAGCTTATTTCATCCTATTTGATGCTGGAACCAACATCGTCAAATTAGAACTACTTCCCTTAAGGATTAAAATGTGTCGAGCCCGACCACAAAAAGTTATTTATTTTGCTTGTAAAGATTTGATTAATTTGATACAACTTGACCTAAAATGGCATAATTCGACTGAAACTTGCAGAATCGATAATTATTTGGCAAGCTTAAGTAAAACTCAGTGCTCAGACCTCAATTGACCTCACGCAGCCTACCGTACCTTATGAAATACATAGTGCATGCCTTATGAAGACCGGCCAAACGTATCCTGCTCGCTCCTTGTGAGACACGCTGGGTGTTTTCAAAAATATTAGAGAGAAGTGTTCACTTTTACGATGGAATTTGAATGAGATGGCGGCTTGGTAGCGGAAGCGCCAAGAAAATGCATATGGTGAAAAATCCGTTTGTTGACGAGGTATTTTCAACAGGAGAATAAAAATGATGATGCCTTTAAGTAGCCTCGAAGCGTGTAGGTAGGGGCGTGCAGTCGTGCCGCGAATGACCAGGGGCATGCCGCTTCGTTGCCGCTGACATTACGCCACACGAACTAGCGCCTGACCAGACAATCAAACTCGCGGTTCCTGGAGACGACCGACCGGCGTCTGATGCGTAGTTTGGAGCGCTCGGGTTGAAGTACATCTCGCGTGTTTGCGGTGACTGAAGATGCCGACACGGAGGTGTTGCGTCGGTGGGTGCTGGAGGTGAAGCTTATCAGTCTTCGGCTCAACATGGGTCGAGCTGGTTAACAGTATCGGTAATGCTTGTTTTCGGTGGAAAGCTGCGGACGTGCGCCACTTATCATCCTGTCGGCGGCTGTCGTATGCCGTGTATGGTAAACAGATTCTTTCTTCGGTGGAAAGTATTGTGACATGCCGTCATTTATTCATGTCGGCGACTGTTTGTCGCAGTGTGTGGATAATAGTTGTCTGCGGTGGAAAGTTGTGACATGCGTCACTTATTCAATGTCTGCGGACTGTCGTAGGCATGTTGAGTTCACCTTGATGGTAGAAGGAGATTGGATATACCCGCGATTTAGAACGTGGAATTTGCGATGAATATTCCCTCCCATATTATATGTGTATTTCTTAGTGTTCACGAGTGTTCGGCTTGCCTTCCGTGGGGAGAGGGCCTGGGCTAACCAAGGAGTATCCTCATATCCTATTTTGTTATGAAAGCTTGTTCAAGCTTGTTGGATTATCGGTGGGAATGTAGGTACATAACTGTAGCTGTAAAGAAAATATGATCAGCTCACGGAAGATGTGCCCAAAAAGGCTGGCATGCTCAACAACATAGATGTATGAATAACGAAAACCTAAATATGCATACTTTAAACATTTTCGCACCAATTTAGAGCATACACTATGCTCATTTTAGTGCTACCAACAAATTTACGCCTCTAGAACACTTTTTGTCATTTCAGCCCTCCCAACTGCTTATGTTTTTTTATAGTGTTGCATTTTAAGTTGGTTTAACTATCATTAACTATGTCACCAATGCTGTTACCTCTCCATGTTGATCATGACTTAGATCATGTAATAGTCATATTGGTCATGCAAAAGCTAACAGATACCCAGTCAAACAAAGATTATCGTTACAACACTGGCACTCCCCATAACAAAATATTGAGTGCACGCCTGGTTACATAAGCAATATGTCCATGGCCATATATAGGAGTAAAATGAATGTCAAATCTCCATGTCTTCCTAAGTCGTCTTCATCTTCATCGTGTGACCGTTTTTTTACATTTGCAGGCATGCGCAGCGGGTGTCTCCTGCAGACGTGCATTTAGTTTGACAGCGCCCTGAGGACACGACATCTGCCCTTACGCAGCACGGTGCCCATGAAACTTGCAGACATGCGCTAAAGGCAACTTAAGCCTTGAAAATCGTAACAAATCGAAGCATCCTATCTCTAAACCATCAGCATGTTACATTAATTTTATGGCTGAACCAGAATGCTGCACGCGGGTAAGCATCTTGCGGCGATCTGCGAGCAATTTTGCAGCCTTCCGACTGGCGAAATGCGCAGCGCCGTCTGGTGGCCGGGCACCGCGCCGGCCCGACGCAGGCTCCATCTTCTCCACACCAGTGTTGACGGACGACCGCGGTGGCTAGCTGGCGCAGCACTTGGTCCACTTGATGGTGTAGGCGGAGGTGCCGACCTTCTTCAGACCGTAGTAATCACCTGTGGCACGGGGATGGTTTCATAAGCCGTCGTGCGCGCGCCCCGAACATCGACTCCCGCTGTGACGGGGCCGCGCCACTGGCTGTGAGCGGCACAACTTGTCTTGCTAGGCAGACACAACGCACGCAGGCGTGTGGACTCTGAGGTGATTATGAGTCACGACCCGCTCCAGACAGCCAGAGGTGGACTCATGACATGGATGGCAGCTTATCCCTCACCCAGTTAGGGGCGGGGTGGGGGGGTTATGTGCGACTCTCAGGCTTTTTCCTAGGGTATCTAACCAGCAGGTGGTGTAATCGTGCCAAAATCTTCATCGATCTTTGGTGCATTCATTGCGCGTATTTTGGCACCAAAAGTTCTCGGATTCCTAGTTCTGAGAAGTTATGCTTTCATGAACACTGCACTGGGATCCGTAGCTGACGCGGGCATTAACCGAGCTTTACATCATAAATATATGCCCAAAGCACACGTGACTTCTCTCAATATGTTGAGAAATAAACAAGTAGCACGTCTGTTTCGTTTTATGCTGCTTCGTGGAATGGGTCCGTGAAAATTTGCAGGTAAGCGGAAATAGACGTCGAGGAGAAAATTATATAACTCGACCTATTGGGGCCAATCATTCAACTAGGAACATACAAGCTATTACCAATCGTAAGATCTCGTACTGAACAATTTTATTTCTCGTACAAAGGTCTATATTTTTTTAGCTTGTGAAAGGCAGGGGGACGACGGTCTGTATCGCTCCTCCCCCCCCTATCAGTCCGCTTTATGAAAAATGTGGGATGAGGGCGAAGCTTAAGTCAGCTTTTGTATAACATCGCATTGACTAGAGAGTGGGGTCACAGGCGCGAAGATCACAATCACAGGCCTGGCATGAAGATCACAGCATGCTCTGCATGCCGGCTCCACCTGGAGACTTCTTCGCCAGTGGGCTCCTGGACTCTTGTTGGGTAGCAATACATGGATCGTCTCAACTCAAAGGTTTTATCTGAGCCAAGTGTTTTAGTGAAGCATGCCAATCATCCTACTGAATAGGCTTACAAACTTACGGCGGTCTTAGTTCTAGCCAACAAAACAACTGGACCACTAAGAAAACGAGATAATTAAGTCTAATATCTAGAGAGCATCACTGAGGTTGCGATGCGACAGTGTCGCCCCACCGCGGCCGACTCCGTACCTTCCCAGCCGCCCTGGTCGATGGGTACCGTGTCGGCGGCCGTGCTGCCCTTGACCACCATGACGGGGTCCAGGACGGCCGGCACGTTCGCAGCCCCGGCCACCTGCCAGTGCTCGCCGTCCGCCGAGTACAGGGTGGACTCGAACTTGCTGTCGTAGGCGTACATCTTGCCGGCAGCGTGGCCGCGCAGCTCGCCGATGTATTTCGGCTGGGCTGCGGACAGGGGTACCCGGTGAGGCGGACGGCCGGTGTATTTCGGCTGGGCTGCAGACGGGGGTGCCCCGGTCAGGTGGACGGCCGATGTATTTCGGCTGGGCTGCAGACAGGGGTGCCCCGGTCAGGTGGACGGCCGATGTATTTCGGCTGGGCTGCAGACGGGGGTGCCCCGGTCAGGTGGACGGCCGATGTATTTCGGCTGGGCTGCAGATAGGAGTGCCCCGGTCAGGTGGACGGCCGATGTATTTCGGCTGGGCTGCAGATAGGGGTGCCCCGGTCAGGTGGACTGCCCGAAGGTGCGAAACAGGCGTACGAAACAAAAACAGACGGAGTGCAAAAAAACAGACGGAGTTCGAAACAACTGCTGTCAAGTTTTAATGCGATGAAATATTTGGTTAAGGTTCGTGTGGTTTATGCGATATATCTGGACATGAGGCTGGGCACGGGTGGTACCAGCCCATTGTGAGAGCCAAGACCGTCTTGGGTATGATGTCCCCGATATTGTCACTCCGCTTTGGATGCGCTCATTCATATGTGCAGCCTAAGTGCTGCTATTGCAGTCGTTGGAAAACAGAGGAAGTTGTCACCACATGTCGGGACATTTTTTCGATGGGAATGTTTAGAGTTTTATGGTCCTGCTTCCCATTTGTTGCAAAGAAATGGCCATGTTCCTTTTTACTACACTTCGTGCTGTGAAAAGTACAGTGTCAGATGTCTTACGCCCAGCTGCCCTACGCGCACTAAAACAGTGCAAGCATTGTCGATACTGTTACCACAGCGTATTATCCAGCTCGGTTTTGATAACAAGATTTGTGTGGTCACAATGAATGTACTAAGCCTCTTGACACCATGCTAACAAAGCAGGTTTCGGGTTTCCTGACGGCACCTACTTATCCAGATATCACCGTCCCTCGAGGCAAAGCAGATGACCATATCATTCTTCAGGTCATAGTCGCAGTAGTAGACAATGTCGTTGGTGGTGTCGACGGCGAAGTGGCGCCACTTGCGCGGCTCGGTCGTGTAGATGGTGTTGTCGGCCACGGCCGGACACGTGTCGGCGACGGGCTCGGCCGTGTGGCAGCCGTACAGCTCGGCGCTGTCGAGCGAGACCGGTCAGATAGGCGTCAGCCACGCTCCGGTCATGGACCAGACAGACACGGCACACGCTCACCACGGCCACTGCCGGTCCGCCGAGACCGAACACAATTCGGCCTCACTCCAGCCACGGACAAGACAGACGTTGTATACGCCCACCACGGCCACGGTCGGTCGTGGTGGGCGTATACCGGCGCGACCAGACAGAAGTCGGTTCTCACCCCAACCACAACCTCTTTACCACATCACTACGCTCGTAGAAGTCTTCCAGCGGCCACAAATGCTGGATACCAAATTAACCTTTGCTGTACGTGTCTCTGACGTAGTCAGTGGGGGCAGTCGAGCACTTGGTATCATTTTTCGGTCCTTTCAGTCGGCACGAGCTGGTCAAAATTCAATCGAAGTGCTGTGATGGCTCCGTATTTAGCAAATTTTGCCGTGTGGTCTGGGCAGGGGCGGCCAATTCCCATACAGTGCAGGTCGATCGAGTGCAGCACAACTTCCTTATTTGGCTACTTGCACATTCTTCGGGCAAACACTTCCCTTCCTTATGGCAGCCTTCCGCTTCAGTTCAAAATCCCATCCCTAGCAGCACGAAGGGTGCAGTACGATTTACTCTTCCTGAGAAACATCTTCCAAGGTAAAGTGGACTATCAAATCTCGCTAAGCTGTTTTCCCTTGCCTGTGCCGCCTCGATCCACCCGCACCCGCACTCTGCTCGTTGTGCCTCGCGCAGGCAGTGCAGAGCGGTCTGTTTTGCAGATTGCCAAGCGTTGGTAACACTTTCTTAGCGAGCAACACTAGCGCGGATGATATCCGCGACAGTTTTGACAATTTTAGAGTTCAAGTGATCAAATATGTTACAACTCTGTAGCATCTTCACTCAGCTTTGAGAGATTGTCCTCGGAAAATGTCCATGCTGATGTGTGCCGTTTATTTATTGGATTTTAGTTAAACGATTTCGCCTGTTAGTGGAGTGCTGCTGTATTGACGACGAGTGAAATAAGCAAATAAACAAATGCACCGTTTGACATCATAGAAAGGTTGGTACAAAAATGAATTGCGACACAAGCACGTTTGGCACACGTAGTTATGCTGTCCTAGATGGCCTGAAATGGAGGAATGGGAGCTCCTTGTCTGGTGCAAAAACCTAACGTCATCTCACGTGATCTGGATGTAAGAAGAGCCTGGGTCGGCTGTCAGGATGACAATGCGGACGGAACGGGCGTTGAAGCTGTGGCTTCCCAGATCTTCCTTGGTCATGTCAGCTGGTACTGGACCCTAGCGATCAGACGGAGTCGACTCAGGGACACACTGGCAGCAGGGCACAACCAAGCCAGTGGCCACTGAGGACAGGCAGAGCGGCAGCCGTTGGGGAAAACCAGGGCACAGGCCCGGATGCATGTGGTTGACGGTGCGCTTCCACACACTGTGTCCGCTTCACTTCAGCGTCGGGATTCATGGAACAATTAACATCGTGCGGAGGTGCCCATGGTTTTTGGTGGGAGCCAGATCATGATTGAGAGCGTGAACAGCACCATTAATTCCACTCACGTGGCGCTGAATACGATTAATTCTGCTCACGTGGCGCTGAACATGATTAATCATGTTCAAGTGGCGCTGAACACGATCAATCCTGCTTACGTGGCGTTGAACACGACTAACCCTGCTCACGTGGCCCTGAACACGACTGATCCTGCTCACGTGGCGCTGAACGCGATTAATCCTGCTTACGTGGCACTAAACATGATTGATCCTGCTCACGTGGCGCTGAACACGATTGACCCTGCTCACGTGGCGTTGGACACGATTAATCCTGTTCATGTGGCGCTGCACTCGCCACGGCGCGTTGAGCCCTCACGCTACTCACATGATGAGACGGGCTTCAGTCAGCCAGCCTCCTACTGACCTCGAACTTCCGCTGGAAGAGGAGGCCGTCGGTGCTGGCTTCCAGGGCGATACTGGTGACGGCGCGCGAGCCGAGGTTGGTCACCTTCCAGCCGGAGATGCGGGTCGGTATGCCGAACCTGACGTCCAGGTACTGTCGGGTCCAGGCCGGGTCGTCCCGCACCGGCGGGCGCCATCCTGGCGGCCACACACGCGGCACGCGTTCAGTGACAGGCTGGCATCCTGCCCGGACACGACCATCACACGTGCAGTGACAGCTCCGAACACGTGTGTGATGCGCTACGTGGATGTCTCCCACTCATCTCGCCAAATGCATGATGCTGGCGATGATGAAGAAAGTGCTGGGGATTGTCATGATGATTATCATGTTGGTGATGGTGACAAGGATGATGGCATGTGGGATACGGGGCAGAGCGAGAGCGGCAGAGGTGAAACATGAAGTGGGATGGTGAAAGAGCAGTCCTCCCTCGGGATACCGCCTGTCCTAGGCCTGTTGCTTCACATACACACCACCCACCGTCAGCTTTGATGGCA